GTTCGTTGATTTCGAAAAGGACAAGGAGTGCCTCGAGATGCGGTACAGGGCCGCTGAGAGGGAGTTGAACGAGTTGAGGGACAAGCTGATCAGCGCGAACAGGAGCATAAGCACGGCGAGCGGGAATATATCGAGCCAGGAGGCGTTGATCGGCCAGTTACGAGGTGAACATCTTATCCGAATATCTTTTAACCCTTTGCACTCCTGTTTCGCTCGGCGCAACTCGGACGTTTGGTGGAATTTCTTACAGCTAATTTATAATGATTTCGCGCATGAAGTTTTTATATTTTAATATTTCGTGTATCTTTAAATATAAAGAAAGAAAATTTATAGAATATCGAAATCTATATTTTGTGTGATTTATTTTGTGAAGTAATTATCAAGATGCATTATCCTCGGTTTGCATCTTGTTTCGCGTGCTATTTCATAAGTCAAAGTTCATTGGTAAGAAATAGTTTAAGAAAATTTAATGGTTCATTTATATTCGAAGATACTTGCGGTTCTGATTTTTCGCTGGATACGAATTGTATTCTTCGCTATATTTTTCGATTCTATGCATCCATTTCGGATTTTTCTTTGTTTTTCGTGATATTTTCTCTTGAACTATATTGCTTTCACATTCGCTATTTATCATTCTTATTTTTCGTCTTCTTATATCTCTTATTTCGTGTCTACGTTCATCGTTGCTTTCTCTATCGTTAATTTCTTTACGAATAGAATAATAATTTTGTGATAACGAAAAATCAAACTCATCTTCGCTTAAACTAATTTTATTATCGTATTCCATGCTTACAAATCTCAAAAACTTTGAAAATAATATTTCTATTCCCACGAAGATGTCACGATCACGGTCTAATTCGAGATAAAAAATCTAGCAGTTTAACAATATATTATTCTACACCTCATAAGATTATACGTAAAGAGCTTAGGAATCTATTTATGAAGCGATATTCCAAAAGAATCAAATATAAATAAATATTGTCGCCGTTCAAGTTACCATCAATCCCAGTGATGATCGAGAGTCAAAGGGTTGGAGAGCAAAGGGTTAAATTTTAGAAAGAAAGTTTTCTTACGATTTGTTGATTAAATTAATTTTGATTGAATTAATGTTAAATTCCATTAACTTTGTATATATATAATTTTAAATTTGACCGAGAGTCAAAAGGTTGGAGAGCAAAGGATTAAATTTTATTAGGTTGGAAAGAAAATTTTCTTATGGTTTGCAAAGGGTAATTAAATTTTATTAGGTTGGAAAGAAAATTTTCTTACGGTTTATTGTTATTTTTGATTAAATTTAATTCCATTGACTTTGTATATATAATTTTAAATTTGACCGAGAGTCAAAGGGTTGGAAAGCAAAGGGTTAAATTTTAGAAAGAAAGTTTTCTTATGATTTATTGATTAAATTAATTTTGATTGAATTAATGTTAAATTCCATTAACTTTGTATATATATAATTTTAAATTTGAGAGTCAAAGGGTTGGAGAGCAAAGGATTAAATTTTATTAGGTTGGAAAGAAAGTTTTCTTACGGTTTATTGTTACTTTTGATTAAATTAAATTCCATTGACTTTCTATATATATAATTTTAAATTTTGCATTTTGAAAATGTTTTGATGTTAATTTTATTTTATTAAATTTATTTTTCTTATTTCTCAGGATGTTGAAAACGTAATGGACAATTAGAAGCAAGTTCGAACAATTTTCCTATTCAAAAATTCGAAAAAACTCGTTTCTCGTTTCTGGCAAAAATTCTGCATTGATTGATGGCAATTTGTGTTTATTTCGATTAATAAAAATTTTGTTCGAGCATTTAAATTTAAAAACCTACTTTCTTTTACAATCTAATATTACACAAATGCAAATACTTCTTCCTCCCTCCCCTTATTCTTTCTGTTCCCGTTCACAGAAGATTTGACGCAGCGAGAAGAAAAGTGTCAGCGGTTGCAGACCGAGTTTCGACACTTTTTGGAATCGTTGGCGATGGTGGTCAGCGGGCCGAACAGATTCATCGAGTCGCAGGAAAACGCCATTAAGGATCGCGTGAGGGAGATCCTGGCCGAGAACAAAGATCAGGCCCTTGTATTTCTCATTCTTTTATCCCCCTTTCTTCTTCTCTTCTTCTTCTTTCTTTTCTCTTTTTCTGTCAACAATCTGTCACGAAAATCTCTCTTCCCTCCCCAGACCATTCAAAACCTTCGCGACAAGGTGAACGCAGCTACGGAATCGACGACTCGACAGAGCGAATTGATCGAGGCGACGGTGGCCAAGATGCGAAACATGGATACCGAACGATCTGAATTGGAGGGGAAGGTTCGAAAGATGGAGGCCCAGTTGACCGATTGCGAGCTGGCCAAGGAACGTTCTCGAAGGGACAAGCAAACGGTATATAAATAAAAAATAAATAAAAATATATCGATCTCTTCCCAACAAAAAATTTTTTCTCTCTGAAAATTGCTCGTTTCTCCAGTTCGTGACGTTCTTGGACCGGTTGGGTAAAGCGATGCAAATGGACGAGATCACCGAGGAAATGGGTATCGATCTTCAAACGGAGTCTCTCTTGGTACGGGCCGAGCAATTGGCCAGATTGGAGAGCGACAAGTTGGTGGACAAGGTACAGGGGGAGAGGGGGAGGTGGAACTTTTAACTCGAATAACATTGCTCAGAATTCGCCCGATCTCCTCAAACGATCTCTAATCTCTTGCCTCTCTGTGTTCTGTGTTTGTTCACCGTGCGCCGCAATTGTTCCCCCGCTTC